GAAATAAGCCAGTCAATGAAAGAAAAATACCACATGATCTCACTCATTTATGGATAATAAAGACCATTATAAACTGATGAACAAAAATAGAGGCAGAGCAGCATTGAACAGACTGTCAAACTACAGTGGGAAGCCTGGGGAGGGTTGGGGGTTGTTGTAAGAGATCAACTGAAGGAGTTGTATGCATGCATATAAGCATAACCAATGGAGACAAGACACTGGGCGTTAGGGGAGGTCCGGGGAATGTCAAGCGGGGGAAGGAGACATATGTAATACTCTTTGTAATCTTTAAGCAATAAAACAAAATTAAAAAAAAATAAATGAACTGTCCAAGTTTAGGGTAAGGTGCACCTGGATCCGGGTGCTCAAGTAATGCCACCCACCACCTGTGGCTCTGCTTTCTGCTGTGCTGACTCCTATTTAGGCTCTACCAGTGTGGTGGCTAGATGGCTACTCCAGTCTTAAGCAATAGGTCCTTGATACTCCTGGACAGCAAATGTCTACTTCATCTCTTTTTTATAACGTTTAAATAAGAACATAGCCATTAGGGCAATGCTATAATTCCCACTCCCCATTCCCACCAAAGCCCATGGTATAAGGTTTAAATCATAGGTGTGTAGAGTGGGCTTCCCTTGATCTTACAGTCTTGAGAGAAATTTGAAAGTTAAGTGTGTCATTGGTAGGAGCTGGTGAAAGTCACAACCTTTCAATGACCTTAAACTTGATCATTCATTGTGATTGCACAACACAAATACTTATTACCTGAAGCCTGAGATTTTTAATGTAATGTGAGAGGCAGCAGAATCTGGGCAGCAAAGGCCTCATTAAATCCCAACCACAGATACTTGAACTGCCCCCAGAACGGTCAGCAAACACCAAGAGAGAGGCTGCTCCACCCCTGCTTTTTGTACGCATTCCCAGATCCCTGAAGCAGCCTGCTGTGCAGCAGGGGGTCACAAGCTTTTCTTAATTAGAAAAAAGAAATGTATGTCTATTAGTTTGGGTACACAAAATAAAAATAATAAAATAATGAATTTCTGTGCACCCTGCACTCACCTTACTAGTAGGAAATAAAAACTTAAGTCTCCAGAAATAACCACTATCTTGCATTTGATGTTTATTATCCTTATGCATATTTACTTTTTTTTCACATGTCTGTGAGCAATATATAGTGCCATTTTGCTTGTTTTTAAGCTTCATCTCAGTGATATTCTATGGCTATCCTTCTATAAATTGCCTTTTTCCATTTTGGCCTTATGATGATACATGGCATTCTGGTTTGTTCATTTTCACTGCTATGTAGTATTCCACTTAAACATATCAGATACATTCATGATTGTCCTGTGTGTGGAGAGCAAAGTTATTTCCAATTTTTCACTATGAAAAACAGGGTTGCTGCGAGCATTCTTGCAAGAGTCTTGTGCAAGTGTGCGAGTTTCTTCATGTTGTATGTGTAAATGTAGAACTGGAGGGCTGAGCAGTGTGCATATCTTCACTCGTGGGAGATGTTGCCAGGGGCTCTCCATGGTGTGTGGCCAATTGGCAATTTCTGAACTGTCCCCCACCTCCATCTCTTCAAGGCTTATATGGCCCAACTTTTATTTTCTTTTAATATGTTTGCCAATCTGAAAATAAAATGGAATCTCTTTCTTGTTTGAATTTGTATTCCCAGATTACTAAGGTTAAATGTTTTATTCATGTAGAAGCTCAGTGTGTAAAGCTAAACTAGTCAGAGTTTTTCTGTTTGGGGTGGGGTAATGGTTCATATTTAAGATATCTAAACAATCGCATGTATAGTTTTAGTACCTTGGGATGATGTATCTGTTCCTAAATATTGAGCATATTTTTAAGCAAATGAGTTTGTATTAAATATCTTTGTAGCATATTTTAGCTAGTTGTTTGCGAATTTAGCATTATCTGTGACATGTTCTTCCCATCCCTTTACATAAGTTAATTGGGAGGTGGCTTTAACAGCAGGTCTGAAAACCCAGCTATGAAGCTGAGGAAGTGAACAGACATCTGAGACCTAAAGACAGGCATCGCGAATTTGTTGGGCATGTTCCTGGTGTAGCACCTTTGCTCTGACTGTTCCTCACCCAGAAGTGCCATGGTCACTCCCTCATCTTCTCCAGGTTGTCTCCAGATCTCACCTTTTCAGTGGAGCTGTGTAAAGTGTGCCAGCCCAGCAGCTGCTCCTGTATGTTTTCCTGCTCTATCTCCTTCACAGTGCTCACCACTGAATCACTATCTGTGTAAATTACTTACTTACTATTTGCTTTGCTGCTGTTTCTTTCTTTGTCCTTCCCCTACCACCTGTAGAAAGTAACTCTGCAAGGGCAGGCATCTTGCTCTATTCTGTCCATTATAATAGTCCCTCCTTATCCATGGTTTCAGTTACCCATGGTCAACTGTCATCTGAAAATATTGGATACTAGAGGCCCTGTGCACGAATTTGTTCACTGGTGGGGTCCCTTGGCCCAGCTGGTGATCAGGGCCATCTCGCCTGATTGGGGCCGATGGAGGCTGGCCAGCCAGGGAGGGACCGCAGGAGGGCTCCAGGGCATGTCTGGCCCATCTCACCCAGTCTCAATTGGGCCCATCGGGGCCAGGGAGGGACCACGGAGGGGCCGGGGGGGGAGGAGGCACGATGTGTCTGGCCTGTCTCACCCAGTTCCAATTGGCTGTATCCCAGCAGCAAGCTAACCTGCCGTTTGGAGTGTCTGCCCCCTAATGGTCAGTGCACATCATAGTGACTGGTGGAACGGTCGAACAAACAGTTGAATGAACGGTTGGACACTTAGCATATTACACTTTTATTATATAGGATAATTATTCCAAAAATAAACAATTCAAAAGTTTTAAATTGCATACAATGCTGAACTCTCCTGCTGCCCCTCTCCATCCCACTCAGAGTATGAATTATCCTTTTGTCCAGCGTATTCATTCTGTCTATGTTACACTAGAGGCCTGATGCACGAACTTCATGTAGAAACTCAGCCTGCACAGGCGTGACGGCTTGCCTCGGCCCTCATAGCCCTGGCTTCCTCTGGAAGGTTGTCCAGAAGAATGACTGGAAGGTCGTCTGGCTGTTTGGTCTAATTAGCATATTACGCTTTTATTATAATAGATGTTCATTAGTTACTTATAGCCGTCTTGGTCATCAGATTGACTGTAAGGATATTAAAATACTTGCACACTTAATAATGCCCCCAAAATGCAAGAGTAGTGATGCTGGCAACCCAGATTTGCTGAAGAGATGCTATAGGGTGCTTAGAACATATGGATAGGGTTTAGTTCTACTCATGGTTTTCAGCATCCATGGGGGGTCTTAGAGCATATCTGCCCTGGATAGAGAGGACTATTTATATATGTTCTTTCCTGTACATACATGCCCCGATAATGATTAATTTATAAATTCAGCACAGTGAGAGATTAGCAACAAATAATAAAATAGAACAATTATAAATATATCCTATATAATAAAAGGCTAGTATGCAAATTGTCCCCTCCACGGGGAGTTCAACCCAGAGTTCAACTGGGAGTTCAACCAGGGGGCTGGCCGGCCAGCCAACTGCCTGCGGCCCTTCCCCGCATCTGGCCTACCCTGATCACCCAGATTGGGGCGGGCCACCAGACCCCACCCATGCATGAATTTGTGCACCCAGCCTCTAGTACTGTAATAAAAGTTATGTCAGTGCAGTCTGTCTTTTTCTCAAAATACCTTATTATACTGCAGTCACCTTTTCACTCACAGGGGAGCTGCCCCAGTTATGAAGGGGAAGGAAGACGGTGGCCTTCAATGGGAGGATGAAGAAAGGAGGATAATTTAGGGAGAGATTTAGGACCTCGCTGCTATCTTCTCCTGTGATCATCAAAATCAGTGGACTCTCAGGGACTTTCTGCATCCTGGCTCACTGAGCAGGAAGGGGCTCCTATTGAGCATGCTCCTGAGTGATCAGATTAAGAAGCTGCCCAGCAAGCTCCACCCACATCTTTAATTTTCTTCCTGGGGAAAGGAATGGGGAGCAAATTGCCCTCCTCCCACAGGCAGTTCACAGGGCAGCTTGCTGTGCTCAGGTTTCGGAAGGGAGGTGTCTCCAACATCCAGGTTTCCCCGTCTGCATCTTTTGCTCGAGTACATTAGTTCCCTTTGTCTCAGGCCCCTCTCCAGGCCCCCTTCTCCCACTTGCCAGGACTGTTTCTCAGTGCTCTGTCTGAGGCTGGGCTGCATCCCGGCATCTGGAACAAATCTTTTGTTATAATGAAATAGCAGGACTCTTGGATCTGATCCCTTCTCAGCTGTTAACTTGGTATTTGGTTCCTTGGTAATTTTCAGCTTAACCTGCCTCCTCTCCTGCCTGTTTCTCACTAATATCAGTTTCATACTGGAAGCTGAATTTCACACATACCACCTCCGCAACCGTGAGTGAAATAGTTAGATTAACGCCTGTTTCTTCATGACTCTCCCAACACGTAATAGAGGCACATGTGTGGGTTCCTGTGCTCACCTCCCAGACTTGTGTGATTTTTCCTTTGGTTCAGTGGTCATGCACCCCCCACAACCTAACACCATCCAGATGGTGAGAATATCATGTTGCCCATTTCACATGAGAAAACCATGCCCCACCCTCTTAGTCAAGTTGCATTCAAATCTAATTTCCATGGCACCCGTGAGGGGAGCTTCCCAGCCCCTGTCACAGCTGCCAAGGTTACAAAGCTATTTCCCAGCTGGGCCAGTGGCAGCCAGCAGGCACCAGATAGCTGTGTGCTGGCAGGGAAGTCACAGTCCCCTCCCACAGCCCTAACTGTGACTCCTGCCACTGCCAGGGTCAATGCTGGATACATGGTATTATTCTCTGAACAAGAAGAGTTGTCAGCTTATCACTTTATAAAATATAACATATTGTGCCTGCTCATGTTTTGGAATGTTCCAACCATTTACTGGCTGTTTTTTTTTTATAAGTTTAGGAATAGCTTTAACTTGTATTCTTTCCAGGAGACCCGGAGAACCCAGGAGTTTCCATGCCGTGCTGCCCCCCAAGCTCTGGATTCACCTGGCCGTGGTGGCCTGTGGCAACCGGCTGGAGGAGACGCTGGTCATGCTGAAGTCAGCAGTGCTCTTCAGCCACAGGAAGATGCACTTCCATATTTTCACAGAAGAATCTCTGAAGCCCGAGTTTGATAAGCAGGTGAATTTGCAGATATTGCAGCATAACATGTGCCGAGTCAGCTGGGCTGCATTTTGGGAAAAGCATATATTGTTCACAGATGTTTTTTGCTGCACATTGAACTGTGTGACTCTGCACCTTTGACTGTGCCTGACTGTTATCTGTAACACGGGGTGTCAGAGCCAGCAGGAGCTCTGCTCAGCACTGCTGCTCTGAGTTGTTGTGAGTCCATGTATTCTTCGCAACTCTCCCCGACTACGCCAGGGCTGGTTCCTTCTCTAACCCTGCCCACTACACTCACTGTTGGGAACTTAAGCCAAGTCCCCCTTTATCCTCTGCTCACTAGACAGCAGGTCAATTCTTTCTCAGTGACGGGGCAGACAGAGAAGCCATGAGAGGTTGTGGGTGCACTAGTAGAAGGATGAGTCTTTATTGCAGGAGCCAGTGGCCACATAACCATCAGACAAGACAGTCCTCAGAGCAAAGCCCATACAGGCAGGCAACCGCACACCAGTTGGTGAATACATGTCTTTCCCATAAAGCAGCATCTGTCTCTGTACCCACAGCTGTTATCTGAGCAGCTGCACGCTGCCTGTAAACCTAAAGCTTCACACAGCAATAGCACCTGCCTCTCCCTTAGAGCTGCAGCCTCATGGCCTCTCTGGCTCAGCAGCTTCTCCTGTCTCCCTGCCCAGCACACTGGCGGGGTAACATGGCAGCTGTATCTGAGCTCTCTGTGAGCTCCTAGCCTTCCATCGTGGCAGCACCAGCTCTCAGCTCCGTCTGAGCTCTCCTCTCTCCTGCACACGTAAGAGCCACATTCTCTCTGCCTACCGCCTCTCCTTCTCTGAGCTCTCTAGCCTCTGCTCTGCCCAGCTGCTCTCTTACAGACTAACTGGTCAGTAGCCTGTATATTACTCCAGAGATAAAGCAGGCTAGCTGACAACAGTGACATCAATCATTTGGGTTACAGGAGGGCACAGTGTACCATATATCCTTACACCCGCTCATGGTGTCTTGGCCTTGGGCACCCCAATGAGGCTCATGCCAGAACAGCCTTGAACATCCCGGTGTATGAACAACAAAGCCTCTGTGCTCTCTGGCGCGGCTCCCACAGGGGTGATTGCACCTGTAGATGGAAGCATTGTGAGGATGAAATGAGATGATGCACTGAAAGCATTTGCCCCAGAGCTTGATCCTTCTTGGAATTATGAACATTGTTCTCACTCAGGAGACGGATAGTTTATGTTCATTGATGTACTATGTAGTATATGTTATAAATAAGTAATATATGTTAGTTAAAATAAATTCAAACAATATAGGGCTTATAAACTAAATGTGCAGTCTTTGCTACCTTTCAGTCCTACCCAAGAAAGTATCAGAATTAGCAATTTAGAGTGGTTCTTTTATATGTTTCCCCCCCCATATACAGGTGTGTATGTGTGTTTATCTGTGGACTGGTGCATGAAATTCATGCATGGGGGTAGGGGGGTCCCCTCAGCCCAGCCTGCACCCTCTCCAATCCAGGACATACCTCTCACAATCCTGGACTGCTGGTTCCTGATCACTCACCTGCCTGCCTGCCTGGTTGCCCCTAACTGCTCCCCCGCTGCCGGCCTGATTGCTCCTCACTGTCTCTGTGTACCGGCCTGATTGCCCCTAACTGCCTCCCCTACCAGCCTGGTTCACCCCTCACTGTCTCTGCATGCTGGCCTGATTGCCCCCAACTGCCCCCTCCCAGTTGGCCTGGTTGCTCCTAACTGCCCCCCCCTGCCAGCCTGGTCACCCCTT